CTGGGGGTGGGGGTGGGCGCCAGGGGTCGGTATTGCCGTCTAGTCGTTATGGCTTCTCTAAGGAGCTGGGGAGGGCCGCGCCCCGGGCCCGCAACACTGGACACGAGGAACTTTCGCTGTGGACAGAAAGGGCCCCAGGGACCGAGGTGATGGGCTTTCTGCCGAGATAAAACTCCTCAAACACAGAAGACCTCATTTACCTGAGATTCGACATATTGTGATGCAAATTACACAAGGGCAGAGGCCAAGGGGGAGCTGGGAGGTCCGCGGTCATTTCCGTGCAACCGGGCGGGCTCTGCGGCTGGGACGACCCCCTCGAGGGCCTGCAGGGAGCGGGGCCGGCCTTCTGCGCCACACCCTCCTGCCGGTGCGCAGCGCTCGGCCCGCAGGGCTCTGGGCCTCCTCCCCGGTTCTGGGTGAAGGTGTGGGTGTTCGGAGGGTGAGGGCAGGGCGTCCCCCGAGCAGCCTCGGAGGGGACAGGAGGTGCCAACCAGGGAGGTGAGTGTGCCGGGCTCAGCTGGGCTCCCGGACGCCGGAGAGCTTGAGCGGCAGCGGTGTGGGAGGGACGGGGGTCTGAGAGTGCCCCCCCCAAGCCTGTCGCTTTCTCGCCCTTCGTGGAGAGGAGAACGGGCCCCAGCAGGTCCTAAGAGGCAAAGCCTTCCCGAGGGGGGGCCGAGGAGGCGGCGGGAGGACGGACACAGGTGGACGAAGAAGGGAAGGGGTGCAGATGCAGAGCGGTGGACGGCGGATTCAGCAACCCGGGCGTCGGTGCGGGGTAGGTCTTGGGGTCCAGGCTGACCCCGGGGGCCGAGCCCCGGGCGCCAGCTGCTCGCCCCTCCCAGCCCCCACCCCGGCCTCGCGACCGCGCCCCCTGCTATGGCTGTGCTTCCGAGTGTGGGCCCCACAGGCGCCCACCAACGCAGGGCCGGCCCTTTCGGTGTCCCTGGCCACGGGCCCTGCTGGGTGGGCGGTGAAGGGAGGAGCGAGAAGGGGCTTCCCAGGCTCTGGGGCAGGTCCAATCCACCCGCTGCCGGAGGAGCCCGTGCGCTAGTCCCCGGGGCCTGCGAGCCAGACCGCGGGGTCCGTGGGGGCCCGGGCGCCCCTCCCTCGCAGGTGGTGGCGATGGCGGTGCGGGGCTGGGGTGAGGGGCGGGCGGAGGCTCCGCAGGCTTGCGGGGGCCGGGCAGGCGGACAGACCTAGGGCTATGGCTTATGTTGGCGTTGGGGGGCTGCACTCTGCTCCCGACATCCCTTCAGGCGCCCCCGCGGAGGGCAGGACGGGGTGGGCGAGGGGGCGGGGCTCCGGGCCAGCTCCAGGGGCGTTACTTCTTGAATATGTCCTGCAGCGGCCCGGGCAGGTACCTGATGGCCGCGTCCAGGATGCTTTCCTCCTCTGCCTCCGGCTCGTCCCCGCAGCCCGGCGGGACGGCCCGCTTGGGCCGCGTCAGGCTGCCCTCCGCGCTGGCCTCCATGGCGGCCTGGGCCTCGGCCTCGCGTTCCTCCCTCCTCTTGATGCCGTACTGCGGGGGACAGGGCGGCCGCGCTCAGGCGGGCAGCTCCCGGCCCCGGGAGGGGCGCTCTCGCGACCCGGGCGGGCGAGACCCACCCTCGCTGGCGGGATCGGCCGAGGGGCCTCTGGAGGCAGCACCTGCGGCTGAGAAGGCGCGGGCGGGAGCGGACGGGCACCAAGACCCCGGCAGGGCGGTCCCCACCCCGGAGGCTGGCGGCGGGGGCGGGGGCGACGGCGGGAGCCCGGAGGGGGACCCCGCTGAGGGTGGAACCGCGCGAGGGAGCGGGGGAGGGGGACGACGAAAGTCGGGGTTCTCCGTGGGGGCGGGGCGCTGAGGCGGTGGCCCCGCCCCCCCGCGGTCCCGCCTCCCGCGGAAGTGGGCGCAGGCCTCAGCCCGCCTTGGGCTGCGGTCCCGGAGCGGAGGGAGCCGGGGCAGAACGCCTGCCCGCAGCGGCGGAGAAGCCGGTGTTCTGCGGCTGGCGGGCCCCACGCAGCCCAGATCCTGGGTCCGGCGACACGTGGCCACACCCTCCTGCCTGGCCAAGTATCCCCGGATGCCACCAAGACCCCAGTCCCTGGAGGGTCACTCTGTATGCTCCGTGCCCGGCGGCCACTTCCAGGTGGATGTCCTGGAACCCCATCTAGGTGTGCCCTCAGCAACACCCCTGGGCACTGCTGAGCGCCCCCAATTCTGGTTTCCTGCGTGTGTCTCTGCCCTGAGCCCTCTCCCAAATCTCCCCTCATCAGTGGATTGAATGGTGTCCCCCCAAAATTCATGTCACCTGGAACCTCAGAATGTGACCTTATTTGGAAATAGGGTCTTCGCAGATATAATTAGGTAAGAATAGAGACGAGCTTTTCCTGGGCCCTAAATCCAAAGAGAGTTTCCCTGTTAGAGAAAGAAAAGGATGCACAGAGTAGAAGGTGAAAACGGAGAAAGGGTTCGGAACGACGTTGTCACAAGCCAAGGACACATGCATTGCCGGAAGCCCCCAGAAACTAGAAGAGAGAAGAATTCTCCCCCTCAGGTTTCAGAGGGAGCACAGCCCTGCTGACATCTTGATTTGGGGCTTCTAGCCTCCAGAACTGAGGAAGTAAGTTTCTAGGAGATGAACCCCCACCTCTGCCAGGCCCATCAGCATCCTCACCAGCCCTCCCGGATGAACAGAGCACTGATGCGTGTGCGCCTGCAGTCATGAGGCCATGAGACCAGGGAAACACCTCCTGCCCTAGGGCTGGTGGGAACCAGGTGGGACCAAGCTGGCCTGGTGCGTTGGGGGGCAGGTCACCCATCTCGGGGGCAGGGCTCAGGACCCGCCCAGGCTGGGGAGAGGGGTGCCCCTTGGCCAGGTCTGAGGTCCTGGCTTACACATTAGGGAATGTCTGGGAGCAGAAGCATTGATGAGGTAAAGAGGAAGCACCGGGGAGCACGTGTGGGTGTCAGCGATGGTGGATTATCCGTTATTGACAGGCTGCAGAACGCTCCTGGGGAGCACACAGTGCAGGACTGCTGGCCCTGCACAGGCAGCCTGAAGGCCCCTGTGCACCGGGAACAAGAGCCAGGAGCAGGGAGAGGGTCTCCACGCGGGGTCGGGGGCGTAGGGCACCAGAGTATATTCTGAGCAGCGGCACGCTACCCAGAGGGCCTCCCCACTGAGCACCGTCAGGTCATCTCAGGGCAGAGAGCGCGACAAGCCGACCAGACTGCAGCCACTCGGGTGGACGGGCCCTAGGAGCACGGCCCTCCTCCCGGGTCACCACACCTGCTGCGACCTCCTCACCACGTCCCCCCCCCCCCGGGGGGGGGGGGGCTGTGGTGGCCGAAGCCCACACACACTCACAGCAAAGGTGCACATGCTCAGGGGAGCACACGGTGCTGGCGGAACGGCCGGGTGACAATGGCACACACGTAAGAGCGGGAACATGCGGTATGTGGTCGAGCAGAGGGGCCTCCCTGACTCGGGGTTGGGACGGGACCTGTGTCAGGTTCTCCCCTCTAGGGTCCAGGAAGGAGACTCCAGGCCCCAACCCAGCTGCTCCAGAGGCTCAAGATCATTCCGAGGCTAACGCCACTCTGGGCACACCTGAGGGCCACCTTACTCTCTGGGGTGCCGCCCAGAGCCTGGCTCTGATGTGGTCTGGCTGAGAGCCGGCTTGGACGCCCCCCATCCTCCCCAACCACTGAGACAGCAGGGCCCCACCGCACACCCTGTGGCCGGGAGGGAGCCCAGGGCGGCCGGCACCCTGGGCAATGCGGTGCTCCTTACCGGTGGGAATCCGTATGTGCCCACACCTGTTACTCTCAGCACAAACCTGGGATGTGGGGGCCGGACCGACTCGGACCCACCAGCTGGGCGCTGGCTTGAGGGTGGTTGTGGCTCGAGGCTGCGGAACGTGGGCAGCTGGAAGCACCAAACCTGGCAGTGCGTGCGCAAACCAGAAGGTGGGTATGCAAATCAGGAAGAGCTTATGCAAATGCCGCAGGTGGGCCAGCCTCCCCGCAGACCTGGACCCGCGCAGCGCAGCGCAGCGCCTGCCGGCGCGTGAGTTAAGTCCCGAATGCAGACGAGGTCGCCTGGGGAGCCGGGCGCCCAGACGACGCGTGACCCCGGCCTGGCCCCTAGGCCCCCATCTGATGGACTCCCGCCCCGACCCGATGGGGCCCTGTACGGCGCAGCTCGATGGGATCCCGTGCCATGCAGCTCTGTACCCTCTTCTCTGACCAGCCATGAGGTCGGGGGGTGGGTGGGGAGACACGGCACCAGGAGAGGCTGGAGGAAGTGGGTCTGGAGCCCCGGGGCCAGCGAGGGCCACTCGGGGAGCCACACCTGAAGGCCAGGGTTCCCACGTGTGGGGAGCAGGAGGGCCGTAGGGGGTTGCCTAAGCACGCCGGGTGGAGAAGGGCTCTGAGGACATGGGTGTCCCACGGACTTCGCGGGGGCAGGGCCTGGGGGCGTGGGGAGGGGGAGGGGTCGGTGGGCAGGGGCGCCAGGCGCTGAGCTCCCCTCAGAGTCGGGACAGCCGGGGCTAGGGGTGTGCTCTGGCCTGCACCCTGCACCGCCAGGGGGGACCTGGGGCTCCTGGGGCTCCAGCGTCCAGAATGCAGCAGGCCTGTCCTGAGCTGCCTCTGACCCACGAGTGGGGGCAGCTCACCATCGCCCCCTTCCCTGCACACTCCCAGGCCTGGCCCAGTGGCCACCGCCTTGGTTACCTCTGCAGTCACCCAGGAAAGGCCCCCACCCGGCGGACTCAGCTGTGTGGTGGTCGGGGGGGCCCCAGCAGGCGTCTGTGCGCTCCCCAACACACCCCACACCGTCCCTGCAGGCCGCCCTCCAGGAACGGGCCCTGGCGCACTAGGCCCGCCTAAACCCCCGACAGCAGGAGAACTGCTCTGGCAGGGCCGGTGAGGAAACCTGGGCCCAGCCAGTGCGTGAGGTGTGGGCCAGCTCTGACCCCTGCCCTGGCCACTGGACTCAGCGGACACCACCCCGGCCCCTGGGCGGCCCAGATCAGACCCCGGATGTGCACAGGAAGCAGGCCCGGGCCCGGTGGGATGAGGCCTGCCGCTGCGGCTGGTGGAGCCATGGTGGGTCTGGGGGTTGGCGGGGTTTATAGGAGCAGCCCGGGGCCTGAGCAGGCGGTTCAGAAGCGAAGGCGCTCACCCGCCCAACGCGGGCCCCAGATGGCGGGGTGCTCGTCTGGGGAAGCAGGACCCCTACCCAGGGGACCCACGGGGCACAGGCTGGAGGGCCCTGGGGCTCTGCCAAGGGGTGCAGCCTTCCGTGTGGCCGCCCCGGAAGCTGGGGTCCTGAGGACAGGGGGGCACATGATCCATCGCCCGTCCCTGGCTGGGGGGTGGGGGTGGGTGAGGGTCACCCTGCCCCCTGGCCTCACATGGAGCCGCAGGACCTCAGCTGCCCTCAGGGTGGGGCACATCCCCACTTCCACTGGGACTCACTCTGTGACCTTTAAGTCCCACTAGATGTCCCAGAGGACGAAGAGGACCCTGGAGCTGATGCCTATTCACTCATCACTCATTCATTCATGCATTCACACACTCATTCACTCATTCATTCACTCACACACTCACTCACTCATTCACTCACTCATTCACTCATTCACTCACTGCTAGCTCAGCATCCAAGCCCAAGTGCAGGCAGGCAAAGCACCTGCCCTCCCCGTGAGGGCAGGACAACTAACAGCTCAGAAGTAAAAAGTATGAGCACGTCAGGTGAAGGCAGGTGCAGAGCAAAATAAAA